GATGTTAAAATATTGGAGAGATTCACTCATTTCTTCACAAAGCCAGATACACGGACTTTTCATGCAGAACTCTGTGTTAGAAGGGAAGACAGATTTTCCTTAAATAAGCCAACCAATTTAATCATACTGCATTCCTAAATAGCCACAACCTTTCAGCAGCACCCCTGACAAGCTTGACACCAGATATTTTGATCCTCTGGATGTCTGTCTGTGACTCGTTTTCCTTTTCAGGGACATTTGGTGGACTGGAGAAATGTACCATGAGGAAAGAACTGGCGATCAGGGATCAGATCTAAGACGATGTGCTTCCTTGCAACAGTGAAGCCTTTAGTGCATACCGAAACAGTGTCACTTCCACCTCTCAGCAGGAGGAAGATTTATGCTCTTATCAAATTATGTATGAGATAAAATCTAGTGTCACTGTACTGATTTAATGAGGGCACTCTTTAACACAGCCCCGATTTTGACTTTGATTCACCAGAGGCGGGTACTCGGTTAATTTCCATAGGTCTACTCCTATGTTTGACTTTAACTGCGAGCTTTAAACAGACTGCTGAATCAGGCCCATTTAGAGTTACCCAATGCATCTCACGTTAAAGCTGTACTGCAACAGACTGCAGGTCTGCTGGAACATACCAGATACAGGAATGGACTCTGTGGGTTGTGTTACGTACAAATAAATATGCGGATTTTGCGAAGCACAGTATCAGGAAGAGGTGGCCATAAAAAAAAGGGAAACTCACCCCCCTCCCCCCAAAACCAAGGCAAAGCAAAAGAAAATTCTTCGACTGTGCTCTCAACTATCATATTAACTCAGACAAGAGTTTACATTCACATTATTTACTAACAGGTGGCATTTTTTAGAAAACTACAATGTAACTGTGGGCAGGGAACAGGAAAGTGCTCGTTCCTCTTTGGAAGAGGGTTTTTCTATCTATTTTTTTTTGTTGTTTTTGTTGCTGCCACTGATTTATATATTTATTTTTACAAAGTAAGCCCAGTTAGTGAAAATTATTTTATGCTTCCTTGCTACTATACCAACAAGATGAAATCCAAGTTCCTGCATGATGTGACATGTAAACCATTTGTGCTGAAGTGACTGCCAGAAGTGGATGGAAAGTTTTTATCCTGAAGAAACACTGAAACAAAATGCTAGCATAATGTAAAATTATTCACTGACAGTAACTACAGGATTTTTTGTGTCTTCTCTTTTTAAATGTGAATTTAGCTGAGTCTAGTATTCAACAACTTAGAGCATCAGCAGAGAAAATTATTTTTCCCTTCTGATGTTCAGTAAATCTGAAAACAAGTGGGTTTTCTTAAAAAGGAAGACATAAAACAATTCTGTTTGCGTTTCATAGGGAAAAAACCCATCAGTAGTGCTGCCATCTAAGGTAAAGCATACATGTTTTCAAAGAAAGTATTAGAGTGTGTCACAAACACTAACATTTTGCCAGTTTTACTCAGATCCTGACACAGGTCAGGTTTTAAAAGCTGGACATCCTCAGCTCCACCTAGATGCTGCAATCACAACTGCATGCGCTTATCTCATTTAGCATTCTAATGTGCCATGATTCAGTTTCATTTCCTATCTTTAAGGCAGTTAGAAGTCAACAAAAACATATAAATGCCTTATTTCTTTTTCATAACTTCAGATTTTCCAGACAGCCACTTGCTCCTTTGCTCAGAGAAAGTTAGAACTGAGTGCTCATTTTTCTGCACCAGGAAAAAAAGTGACAGTTCATTAGCTTTTGCTATCAAACTCTAAAATTACACCATCACATCAATCCACCTCCTCTGTCCTATGGAGCTTCTCTGTTATCACAAAGCCTATTCAAACTGTCCCCAAGGGCCAAGACCAACACTTCAAAAGGAATCTAACTTTGTATGAAACCAAAAGCGTGCCCTATTACCCACCATCTGAGACACCCCCGCCTGACCTCGTTCTTTCTAGTGCTGTTATTTCAGACCTGTATCAGTTCTCAGCCTGACCACAGCTGGGAGTAGTGATCTCCACTCTGCCCCCTCAAGCCCGCGTAACATTAGTTTAACTCTTTTATTCATTCACTGACAGAAATATCAAGAGGTTTCTTTAAATGACAGCAACATGCCCGGATGACTGATCTGCCAGAAGGATTCTTTAGCATTGTGGAAATACCTGGCTATCAGAGAGGGACTGCTTTGAAGTTACTGTTTGCAGTATCCAGAGTACTTGGGTTTGATCAGTTTTTACTGGATTACTTTCACGGAAAGTTCTTTTTGTCCCATCTGAAGAGTTTCTTTGTGAGCAATGAATGAGGATGCATCTTGGGAATGATCTGATACTTCAAAAGATGATTCTTGTAGGTTATCTTGCAGTAAGCTTCTCTTCTGAAGAAAACACTGCAGAGCCCTTGTATTGATCACAACGATAGCGTGTGCAATGTGCCTTTTATCACCAGGCTGTCTGCACTATCACTTTTCAATATAACTCCAAAGCAAATCTTTGCAAGCTGGGACTTTTCTTAATTGATACATGTGTAGATATATGCTGTCTTTTATAATTCAACACTTTTCTCTGCAAACACTTCAAAACAAAGCCGGTCCTGATGAAGTCAATGAAAGTTTACTCACTGTCTGGTGAAGAACTGCAGTTTAGACTGTTTTGGGAATGGCAGTCAAGAATATCTTCATGATTAAAAAACAGAAGTGTTTTTTTTTTTTAATGTTTTGTTTCCTGTGCTGAGTTTTAATGAAGGAAAAAAAAAGAATTCACACACCGAAGCAGCTTGCCAAAGGTAAAAGTTACATTCATAAAAGGAAAACTGATGGCCTATGTTAGCTACTACACACTTAGTACCTTAGTACAAGTTTCTAACCAGCACTCAGTCTGCAGGAGCAATGAAGACTGACATGTAAAACCATACCACTATATTCTCACATTGTAAGAAATGCTCCCCTATAGGTTTCTACATACCCAGACAAAAGTTGATTTTGAAGGTGTTAAACACTAAGTGTTTTAAAACCAACAAATTTTTAACTTCAAAAAGCCACAATCATAGCTGTTTTTTTAATAAGAAAATAATGATACACTAAGTTCTAGGTGTAAAAGCCATTATTCACGCCTATGCCCATACACTTTATTTGTCATTGGTCACCGAATAATTCCATTATTTTAATATTCTTTAGCGCAGGTGCAATGACAATTCAATGCTCATGCAAACACAGTACATACTTGCGTGTGGACAATCCCTTAGTCTGAACAACTGTTCACAGCAGCACTAAGGGTACTAGCTAATGGGTTTTGAAATACAATTTCTAGTATTCCAGTATGGGATACTTGAGCATACGTACATCCTTCACATACAGCAACTCAGGCAATGTCCTCTTACAAGCAGGCCTTGGTAAGTTTTTGCCTCAGCAGATGCACTCTACTTCTGGGCCCTCTGACTCTCCTTCCTATGCAGGTTACATGATCATGGACAAACTCCTGCTTAGTTCTGTAGATATTTTTTCCTTATTTTATGCAGAACTTTAAAAAAAAACGCCTTGCTGGAAGCCTTACGACACTCTGCAATTTTAGCTTAAAGAATTTTCTGGATCAATAGAAACACTCACTGCAGCTGTTACTGATGGATAACTGGGAAATGAAAAATTACAGCAATTCAGGAACAATCTTTCTCTCCTTTTCTTCAAAGCTCTGTTTTGAGTTACAACATGACCAATACTCATCGACCTCAGCAGAGAGACTCCTTCAGCTTTGGACTGGGCTACATCTTATGGGTAATGAAAAAAAACAGCTCCAAAACACAAGTTTACATATGCTTTACGCCACGAGGATACTTTCCTACGTTTACCAAGATGATGATCATTTCCTGTTGCTTCCTGCCTTCATTCATATTGAAGCTGGAACCCAGGATGTCATAGTTACATCACACAATGATGGGAAGACTCTTAGAGTAACTAATAATAACCACAGATTGCTTTTTATCAATGTGAGCCAGGCTAATTTCTACAATACGATGTAAAAAGCAAAGTGGACTCCTTTCAGTTTCTTTTCTCAGCACTTCTCCCTTTCCTGTCTTTATGGTAAGTGATATTGCCATGGCAGTTGTGATACTCAGAATAGACAACGGAAACAAAAAAATTCATTAACAGGCACCAAAACCAAATGACACCCAACATCCATGCAGCACGGTTACTCTTCAATGCACTTCACAGATGCTGTGCCAAGCTAACAGCAGCTAATTCTGGGGGCAGGGCCAGCACGCATCGAAACAGGGTCAAAAAGCAAGGAGATGGAAGGGCTTCTCTACCAGCATTAATGCAGGAAAGGGCCAGACCTTCTGTGAGAGAGCTCATGTCTGAGCCAAGGACAACCAGGAGAGCTGCTGGGAGAAGAGCAACAGCGGCAGAGGTCCTAGAGATACTGGAGGTGCTCTTTAACAGCTGGCTTGGGAAATAGCTGTGATTTTGGCTGCCAGGTCCATTTGAGCTGCCTGCAGCACAGCCCGATTTGGAATCATTCAGTAACACATGGGAGGAAGCATTGAACCCGTACCCACAGAGGTGGAAAATCAGGGGCATGACAGTGTGGCATTTTCACAATTATCTGTGCATTTTTTTTAGGCAACATACCTGGGGATCAGCAACAGTTTTATCTTAAAACAGGCACTTCAGAAACGTTCACCCTACCTGTCTGGCTTAACACCCCAGAGAAGTTAGTATCACAACAGAAGCTAGAGTGATGGAGTTTCAGAAAACTAGCACATACCTACCTACCCTTCAGTAATCAGTCATGATTTAATTTAGAACCAGTAATCAGCAATTGATTACTTGTACAAAGTAACCACAATAACCTCAATCCTGGCCAGAAAGCAATTGTTTTCAGAGACACAAGTAACTCCAGTTGCAGAGATAGTTTTAGAAGCAGCATTACAATACTGGTTAAAAAGCCAAGAATATAGAGACTAAAGCACAACACTGCATTAAAAGAAAAATAAAAGCCTCTAAAAACTTACCACTGAGGTAAGAGCCATCTGAAAACTGTAGATTCGTGCAAGGCCAAAGTCAGCTAACTTTATCTGCCCGCTGCTAGTTACAAGGATATTTTGTGGTTTCAGGTCCCGATGTACCACACGATGTGAATGCAGAAAATCCAGCCCCCGAAACAGCTGAAGCATCATATCCTAAATATAAAAAAGAAATCAATATGCAATTATCAAGACAAGGTGGCAAACAAGTAAACTCCCTGTCATAATCTTCAAAAATAATTTAATAAATATTGATTTAAATACGTGCACAGGAGATAAAAACAATGACTAATATAAAATGGACAGGATGTTGCTAGAACCAGCTGACTTGAACAGGTGTCCTTTTCACGTTTATGGTATTGTTTCTAGTTGAATTATTTGAAGTTGATTGATAGAAGTATAAAGACTGCTCAATATACTTAAAAAAAATAGCAAAAGCATGTCTGTAAATCCCAGGACAACTTCAAAAGAATGCTGTCTAAGTAAGAAAAATACATAGCAGCTTTTTGCTCTTAACTTTAAACCACACACGACTTTGCATCTCACAAGTCTATGCTTTATCCTGCCCTGGTGAAGTGAAATTTTATCTTTCACTTCAGTAGGCACAAGCATGTGTTTCAATCAGAAAAGCTGTTTAAATGACAAGCTCACCAGTATTTAATGCTATAGAGGGAAAAAGTTTACCTGGCAAAACCTGTTGTATAGAAAGTTTAGCACTAAATCAGTGTAATAAACACAAGTAACAATTCTCATTTTGCTTTCTGTTTTGTTACTGTGATGCAATCTTCTATGACATTTCCACAGCTGAAGAAACTATTTCATCTGTATTCATGCTTTCACATTAATCTTAGCAATGTGAAAGGAATGAACCAACAGACTCAACACTAAGAACTAGAAATCCCCTGAATTCCGAATTAGAAGGATATTGTCAACTTGAAAATCCTATTTGCAAAACAGGCAGTTACAAGATGATGCTGCAACAAGTAAGAAAGAAAAGGGATAAAGGAAAAGTTTATTTTCTGTATGCACTTGACTTGAGTTCATGAAACTCCAGCTCAGTGTTTGCTGGTGACATATGCCCTTTCTATAAGCCATGCAGCAGGGTGTCTGCCAATCCTGTTATCAGCAACCAGAATGATCGTGGAGAGGTGGATGGCATGAAGCATGAGAAAAGGGAAGAAGGATAAACTGAAGTTGGTTGCTTTTGTTCTTCTCTGTGGACCTGGGCGTGTTTCAAGTAAATATTCAAGGCACAGTACTAAAAGGAATGATATCTGAAAATGGGTTTAAAAATAGCTCAAAACATTCAACTTCATAATATTGCTTTAGCTGGATGCATTTTTAAGATACACTCTCTAGACGTTGATATATAATTTAATACAAGATTATTATTTTCATGTAATGTTCCCTGATCATCTTTACAGAAGGTACTATAAAATGTATAGATATTAAGGCTGGGAATTCTAATCTGACCTCAGATAGGACATTTCTATATATAGCCTACAGTTCTGCTGAACAGTAGTAACAGCGGGCTGCTCATAAAGTAATTAGTTTTTACTTGAAGACCCTGATGATGGAGACATTACCATGGAACTACGGGTGCTGTGGCAGCATTTAATTATCATCACCTCTGAAGGATGGTGGTAAAATGAGACCCCCCCCACTCCCTGTTCACTGATGCCTTTTGCTCCCTTTGCTTCCACAGGAAAAACTGAGATCTGATAATTTTGATAACTTGTATAATAGGGTTTGCACCTTTAAAACAAATATATACAAGTGTATTGAACCCCCTTGTATTTATATAACTTTCCTTTGCAGTTCAGAAATAAGTGGAAGAGCTCGGACTACAGCTCTGCAGGTTTCAGTCATCAGTAAAATATACATCGTACCTGCTCATCTGCGCTAGTGTAACTTAAGTCACATCCCAACAATCTTAGGATCAGTCTTGCAGATGTAAAGAACACCCCAAGAACATTCAAATGTGTAATTAAGTATGTACTTCATGGTTTCACTGAATTTGGGCCTATTTTTTTATTCCAGGTAGACACAATATCAGACAAAATAAGAAATTTCTTTGAAGAACTTAAGGATTAGTCAGTAGACCCTGGCGAGTCCCTTTTTGGTGACATTTCTGCATCCTACTCATTTGTCAAGTATGTAAACTCATTCCTACAGTTACCAAACATATCAAGAATATTTTTTTCCTGCAACTGATGCTGGTTTTGTTTCGACTTTCTTCCTCAAGCTCAGCAAAAGCAATTCTGCTCTCCTAGTTTCAAGTTGCAAGCAATGTCTTCAGTTTCTGAATTCAGAGTCTTCTTCCAGGCATAGGTTAAAAAATAAAATATTTGAAAATGGGAACTAGTATATCTTTCGCTCCCCCCACAGGACTCAACAGATGAATATAATTTACTGAAGTTCTCTTCACACACAAAAAAATGAGATGTGCCAGAGAAAAGTGTACCAGGAAAGTGTAAATTTAAAAGGTGTCAGAAAGAGGAAAGAAAACTGGGGAAAAAAAGTGCGATATTTCCTCTTCCAGGAAATTCAGAGTTGGTGCGTACAGGCTATTCTCTAGTATTCATTTTGGGCTGTTGATTATGCTCTTTTACTATCCCTTATTACTTACTATCAATCACATCTATGAACAGATTTCAGTTAAAAGTTATCTTGGAAGAACAGCCCAAAGATTCACGTGTGCAAAGAAGGGCACTTCGATGTAAAAAGACCATTTGCTATTTGTGATTCATTATTGTCCTGTTTTTAAATTCTCAGTCAGTTAGAAAAAGAGCAGAAACCAACATCACATGACGTAAGCTTATTATTATGCACTTTAAATACAAAATACCAAATTGTGCAGCTCAGAATTCGGTATTTGTTTGCACAAATAGATTTTCAATATCAAAGCACACAAAAGAGAGAGCTTTTAAATTATGTTTTTATCTGTAATGAATGAGTAATTTTGTGCTGTACCTAATCCTAGTCAAAAACCATTAGGCTTCACGTTTGGAAAATGACTTTGTACTCCTAGTCAGCCACTTGCAACAAACATCAGACTCAGTCTGGGCTGTGTGTTTGCTTTGATACTGTAACTAATATCAGAAGATACTAACCTTTGCTAGCAAATTGGATAAAGGCCGTAAACACGCACAAGCCAGATCACTAGCTGATTAGATCAGGATAATTCCACTCATCTGACGGAAATGAATCCATTTCTATTAGTGATGATTACCCAGTATTATCTCAGTCACCAAGATCTAGAAACAACTGCAAGAGTCTTCATGTGCCTCAAGGATTCGTTTGTTCCATGTCTGCTTTTCCCTGAGAAATTTCTGTGGTTGCTAGGCATACTTTGGAATTACAGTTAAAATTGTATTTCAAGAGTTAATTGAAAAATGAGCAATTCTGTTCGACAAACAGGAAGATTCACGCCTTAGCAGATCTGAGGAACAAGCTCTAATGAGTCATGATCAAACCTCTACTGACGTCTATCAGATGTTCTTTGGATATTGTATATTTACAAACACAGACACAGAATAGCACCTGTTGTTTCAGATGAGAGATCTCTGCCATGCTTCTAATATCACAAAACCTACTATGTTTGTTGCCCAAGCTGAATATATATACATTATCCCAACGTGATTACTTTCAGACATCCATGGCTTTACAATGTTTTCCCTTTTCAGACTGTATTTTCAATGCGGTCTATGCACAAATCTAAAATATTTACCTGTAACTCAATTGAAAACTGTGCTATTTTGGGATGCAATGAACAAATACGCTTTCCTTAGAGGCAAATATGTAGCTTTAATTTCCTAAAAGCCTCATAACAGAAACAGTTAGGAGCAAAATGCTGCATCTTCTGCATGTTCCACCATATATGGTAATGGGGATGGCATTGCTCAATCTGATATTTACTGAATTTATCAGCACTGATTGTCAGGACCAAATTACGGTGACCTTTTCAAACAATACCATATTATGGTCATGAGTCTCAAGAATACACAGAAGTATGTCCTGCATATTCTGCCTCTGGCCTCAGCGAGGATGGGGATAGGCTTGGGTCAGGCTGAGCAGCTCCTGTTGTGGCCTCTGCCAAAGGTGGGCTTTCCCGGCTCACATTTCCCGGCTCAGGGGGAGCAGGGGCAGAAAGCCTTGATTTCCTACAGACTTTTGACTCCTCCTCGTCCTATCCCCTCTTGACTCTACACTTCACTGACCCCTCTTAACCCTCCTCCAGCTTCTGATCCATAAATCTCTTCCAAGCCATTGGTTTTCAAAATATCACTCTGATCCTTTGACAGTCTCCCGCCATCTTGGCTTCCAGCTAAAATACCCGTCAATTGCCTGCAGCAACTTGCTACTTGTTTAAGACCAGCCAGATTCTCTGGAGTACTCTGTCTGCCTAATCCAGAAGAGGATGGCACGCCTGTCGACCAATCAGTACAAGTATCTACTTAAAGAAAACAGAAAAGACGGAGCTGTTTTGGGTGTTGGTGCCCAGGTGCTGGCTGCCGGGGTGCAGGGGCCTCTGTCAGGGGAGACCAGGGGCTGCCCCGTGCCAGACACAGTCAGTTCCAGCCGGCCGTGTCTCCATGAAAAGGGATTTAAGCAAG